AAGAACAAAAATGATAAATTAGTATTATTATTATAATGAGCCATGATTCCTGAATATTTCAGTCTCTGTTAAAGCAGTTAAATCAATATCTGAACAGTGTTTCTTCTCATGCTCAACCCCTTCTATGTTCTCCAACTTTTCTTCATAAAGCCACAACTTCTCACCATTACCCAGACATGTTTTTCCACAAATCTCATTTTTCACACCTCCTATTTTAGCTTCCTAGAATGCCTTTCACCAGGCAGCAAACTGCATCTTAAAATGTCACTCAAATGTCACTTTGTATCGCAAAGCCCCCCTTGACCTCTCTGCTCAGGCTTCCTCAGCTCTGAGTACATAAATGATTTCAATACATGTGAGAAGTGTTTTCTCCACCTCTCTTCCCTCAGTTCCCTAACTGTGAGCCCCTCAGGACAAAGGGCTTTGAATTACTCACCTTTCCATCAACCCAGCCCTCAGCACCTTGCTGGGAAACAGTAAGTGCTGGATGAATAATGGAACAAGGGGGAGGAGGAAGCAGCAGTGGGCGCAGATCTAGTCTGTCAACCCCTGGCTGCCCAGCCTTCAGCCTGAAGGAGGTGGAGCCACCTAGTGTCCAGGCCTGGTCAAGCCTCCTGGGTATTACCCCAGGTCTTTTTCCAGCATGGAGGAAAGTCCCATCAGGAAATGATGTCTCCTCAATCACTCAGCAAATGCTGATCCAATGCCACCATTCTTGTGGCATCACTGAGGGAGCAGAACGTATGGGGCTCTTTACTTCCTCAGAACTACAGTCCTTCCTCAGTTTTCTCCAAGGCAAAGGTTTAGAGTGGGCCTCCCACACACCATAGATAAGGGTTTCACTTAGCTGCCTGGGAGTTGGGAGAGGGTGCTGGAGCCTGCTCAGCACCTGGCAGGTCTGGGCTGTAGCAGCGGCTATGTCCTCACCTGGCCTAGGCTACAACTTCACCCCCAGAGAGGGCATAGGAGGAGGTTTCCCCGTCTAGGGATTCATGCCAATGCTCAAGTGACACGCCAACTTCACAAAACCTGCCAGGTGCCTGAGACAATGCTTACATTTCACAATGGAGACAACAGCTCTAAATTAGTGACCAACATTTAAAGCTCAGAAAATCTTATGTAGAAATACAGATACGGGGCCCTGGCCTCTCAAAGAGGTCTGCATATCTAGGATCGGGGGGGCCTTCCTCCTCTGCAGAGCTGTGAGATGATTTGAGTGGTGGCCACCCCACCCCCCACCCTCAAGCAGAGTAGGGTAACTCCAAAGGCGTTTCTGGGCCTCTTCCCTGTACACTAGAGCTGGAGGGCTCTGGGCCCAAGAGAGCTGAGACATGTCCAGCTGCAAGGGGGCAGAGTACGCAGAAGAGCCGTCTAGAAGGAAAGCAGTCCTAAATACTCACCCAGCCTGTAGGAGATCTGAAAAACAGCAAGGGGAGAGGAAAGAATACAAGAAGGGAGAGACAAAGAAGAAAAGCAGAGAGCAGCAGAGGGCACAGAGGAAAGGGGGAAAGAGGACTGCCAGCGAAGAGACAGAAACCAGCACCTCGGCTGCCACCTGCTGGAAGGCAGCAAGAGGCGCCAGGTGCCAGCCAGGAGCAGTCTCAACAGTGTGGGGAAAGGGACTGCAGCCTGGGTTTGCCCTCTGAGACTCAGTTTCTCCATCTGTAGAACAAAGGTCTGAGGCCGCAGAAAAGCTCTCTTCTCCCCTAACCTTCTCTGAGCAGCTAGAACAGGGGTTGCAAATTCCCAGGGCTGTGTCCAACGGCAGCCCCCACTCACAGCACTTCCCTGCCCCACGGAGGTGGGTGGTGGTCCCCTGGTCCTCAATATGCTGACTCCTTCGGGGTGACCAGGGACCTGTATTTTCATGTGAGAGTCCATGATTTCTGAATGCTAGACACTAGCTGAGAGCCAAATTAAATGTGCATGCCTCCAGTTTGCAC